AAAAGTCTACGAAGTTTGAGTAAATATTTCTTAGTATAAATATGCCTTTTTTGGTGGATGAAAGATCTGTAATCCACAACCTCATAACTCAGAAATGCATGTTGGTCAAATCCGTCATGCATGTAACATGTTCGGAACGTGGAGTGTCATTTTGAAAGAATCTATGTAAATGACATATCTATTGGGTAGAAATCGCTCCAGGAGTATTTTTCTGTGATATATTTCTGATTTTTGATTCTGATGAAAGGAAAAATCTATGAAATCAGATTAAATATTTCTAAGTGCAAATATGCCTCGTTTGGTGGATGAAAAATCAATACTCCACCTGCTCACAACTCAGAAATGCATGTTTGTCGAATCTGTAATCTATGTAGTATGAACAGACCACAGATATTCATGTGAATGGAATCTATATAAATTACATATACATTGGTTAAAACTCGCTCCAAGTGTATTTTTCTGTGAGAAATTTCTGATTTTTGATTCTGATGAAAGGAAAAATCTACGAAATCAGATTAAATATTTCAAAGTGCAAATATGCCTCGTTTGCCGCTTAAAGATCAATAATCCTCCTGCTCACAACTGAGAAATGCATGTTTGTCAAATCCGTGATGCATGAAGCATGTTTGGATCACGAAATGTCATGTTGATGGAATCCCTGTAAATTACAACCCTATAAGTTAGAAATCTCTCGAAAAGTATTTTTCTGTGAAAAATCTCTTATTTTTCAATCTGTTGACAGGAAAAAGCTTCGAAATCATATTAAATATTTCTATGTGCAAATATGCCTGTTTTGGTGGATGATAGTTCAGTAATCCACATGCTCACAACTCAGAAATGCATGTTTGTTGAATCCTATATGCTTCCAGCATGTTTGGAACACAGAATGACATGTTGAGGGAATCTTTGTAAATTTCATATCTATTTTGTAGAATTCCCTGCCGGAGAATTTTTTTCTTAAAAATGCATGAATTAGAAACTCATGTCAGGAAAAACTTGTGAAATGATGTAAACATTACTAGATGAAAATATGCCTTGTATAAAGGATGAGTGATCATTAATCCACATTCTGTGAACTCAGAAATGCATGTTTGTCAAATCAGTCATTCATGCAGCATGTATGGAACCCGGAATGTTTTGTTGATCGAAAATATGTAAATTACATACCTAATTGTTAGAAATCTCACCAAAAGTATATTTTTGTGAAAAACATCAGATTTTTGAATCTGGTCATAGGAAAAATGTACAAAGTTAGAGTGAATCTTTCTCAGGCTGTATATGCCTTTTTTGGTGTATGAATGAACAGTATACTACATGCTCAAAACTCAGAAATGTTTGTCAAATCCATCATGCATGTAGCACGAATTGAACACGGAATGACATGTTGATGGAATCTATGGAATTCACAGGTCTATAAGGTAGAATTCGCTCCAAGAGGATTTTTCTGTGAAAAAAGTCTGATTTTTGAAACTGGTGATAGGAAAAAGCTGAGATGTCTGAGTTAATATTTCTTAGCGTAAATATGCTTTGGTGGATGAAAAATATTTAATCCACATACTCACAACTCAGAAATGTATGTTTGTCAAATCTGTCTTGTATGTAACATTTTCGGACCACGGAATTTCATATGGATGGAATCTATGTAAATTTCATGTGAATTGGTTAGACTCGCTCAAAAATTATTTTTCAGTGTAAAACGTCTTGTTTTTCAAACTGGTGATAGAAAAATCTATGAAATATGATTTAATATTTCTAGGTGCAATATGTCTTTTTTGGTGGATGAAAGGTCAGTAATTCACATTGTCACAACTCAGAAATTTATGTTTCTCGAGTCTGTGATGCATGAAATTTGTTTGGAACACGGAATGTCATGGTTATCTAAACTCTGTAAATTACATATGTATTGGGGAGAATTCGCTCATAGAGTGTTTTTTGGTGATAAATGACTGATATTTAAAACCAGTGAAAGAAAAATCTACGAATTCAGAGTGAATATTTCTAAGTGAAAACATGCCTTGTTTGTTGGATGAGATTAGTAATACACATGCTCACAACTCAGAAATGCATGTTGTCGAATCCATCATGCATGCAGCATGTACAGAACCCGGAATATCATGTTGATCAAA